CTTTATTTACCTTTCTCTTTTCTCTGGTTTGAGAGAGGAAATATTGGAGCTGTTGTGTACTTGTGTTTGTGTTTATTCTTACTGAGGGCCTGTGAGGTTTTCAAAAATGGTGAGGAGGGACACGTGGCTCAGCATGGGAAGGTCTGAGAGGGTCAAAGGATTTCACTGCACAAGGCAATGCCCCGTGAACTTCATAGTACGATAATCGATGAGTGTTTTTTTGTTAGCAATAGTATCTCTCATCATTTTATCATCTTATAAGAGAAAATTAGTATTAAAAAACAAAACAAGATAAACCGAATTAGTCACAATAAACAAAAAGAAGAAGAATATACCATTAGAGGTAAACAACCAAAGTCCACAGCAAATTTTCAATTTTGATGTCACAAATCATAATAGATATTCGTTTACATATCTAAAACATCTTCAGTACAAACAAAATGGCAACTCCATATTGTATCCCAGTTAAACTCATGCTCAAAACTCACATTTTACCTATAATCAAAACGAAAATGGCATATTATTCGAAGTCCAATTTGAATTCAGACACCGAACATCAAGTCCGCAATTTTCGAGACCATTGATTTAGCCGGTGTGGCCATAGTCCCAGCAGGTTGCCGAACGCTCGAGCTTCTGTTCTGCAAATAGTACGGATAAGGGTTGACTTTGAACCCATTTGACTCCGAGTTTCGACTCGAAGGCTGAGGAGGTAATGATGTCATGAACCCATTGCTTTTGATCCTCTCGTTTAGTGCATGGCGCTGCATGGGGTCCACAGGCTTCACACCAATGATGAGAACCCCGTTTATTTCCATGCCGTTTTTGCCGAGTGCTTTTTGTGCATCAGATCGATTCTGAAAAATATTCGAGGGAGGAAAAAATCAGTGAGACTTAATTGGTATTTGGTCATTTTAGATCATAAATGGTTCTAATAAATATGCGTGGCTTTCGATTAAAATGTGAATGTAATAGGGCGTGTTTTGGTGCTCGAAAAAAATATCGGAACATCATTTGGCTAGCCTTCATTCAACTCCTAAAAATGAGTTTAGTAACATCATGATATAATTAGAAAATGCAAACACAAGCCCACGCATCGAGTATGAAATTCAGGTTTATCGGTTTCTAGAAGAATAATAACACAATACATTTATGGTGAGAATTTTGATGAATAGCAATTAGCAGGTTATCCTTACACGACAGTACGACTAGGGCTCAAAGCTCGGCTCGAGCATGTTATCTAGTCGATTTCGAGCATAGATTTTGGAAGGTCGAGCAGCTCGAGATATGTAGTGAATTACTCAAATACCCCTTATATAGAAATATTACAATATTTTATATATGTACTTTAATTGTAATTTTACTTGAAATTTTGATTTCAATCGATCTCGAGAAGAGTTCGAGCGATTGTCTTCTTTTGTCGAGTCGATCTCGAGTGTGTCATAAATCGAGCTCAAGCAACTTGATACATATCAACATTGTGGGACATGGCAACATTCTACACTATTGAAAGGAATAAACAATAGATACATAGCACCAGGAAAGAATATGGAAAAATCAACTTGTGACTGTAGCAAAAATAACCTGATATAAAACGTGCATCCAATTAGCATCTCTTGGACCAGGAACATGTTTGAGGATCACCCCACACTTCTCAAACTCCCGCAGAACAAGATTTGTATCAGCTGGCGAAAAACTATAGAGAAAAGATTTGAATTAACATTTCAATCATTTTAATCACCAACGGAATAGCAAATATGAGACACTATTAGCTTCAGATTCAAGAAGCGATATTAAATGAAACTCCGTAAAGGAGTACTTTGGAGTGCCAACAGAACATAAAATTGGTAAGGCATATTCATTAAGTTGACCTCACAGCTCACATTACATTCCTAGAAAAGCAGCAGTAGAATCTAATAATCTATAACTCCAAACACCAAATTTTCATGTTTTTCAAGCTAAAGAAAAATCTTGGAAAAATTATTAGCAAACACCTTCATAACATGCAGAGAAACTCCACTAGCTATTACCAAAACACATCTAGAAATCATCACATATAAAACAACCGACCACAATAACCCTAGCCAACTCAAAACCCTCCAGCACAAACCCAACTCAAAATCATATGAAAATCAAAAACAAAACCAAAAATGAAGACAAATGGTTAAACGAGACAGTACCCATACGAAACATATAAAACGGACCACAATAACCCTAGCCAACTCAAAACACTCCACCATAAACAGTAACCCACTCCTCCTCATCCAAATTCCCTACTGGCACCAAACTTCTCTTCACCTCAGGCCTTGCCACCTCCCTAGGAGGCGGCAGCGTAATCAAGGCACCCGGCTGCACCACCCCTTCTACCGGAGAACCCCTCCCCTTTTCCTCTTGCTCCGCCGGAATACCTCCACCGGAGCCGCCACTCTTCGCCGGAGACCACCAGCTCGAACTCGCCATAGGACTCTGCAGCTGCTGCTTGCTTGTCCCCGCATACGAGGTACTCGCATCAGACTTGCTCTTGGGAGTCGAGAACTCCCTGCTCAAACTGCGTAATGGCGTTTTGGGGTCCGATTTTGCTTCGGGGGACAAAGGATAATCCGGGATGCCCGATTCCGGAGAAAGATCGTAACGGTCCTCGAGGGTGAAAACGGGCGGCGGCGGAAGATCGGAATTGGCGAAATTTTCCCGCCAGAGGGCTGAGACGGCGGCTGCTTGACCAGGGGTCGAGAATTTCCCTCCGGATTTTCGGGAGGTTACAGGCGAAGCTAAATCTTGAAAGAACAAGGATCGACCTCCGGACTTGGGGGTTCTGTGGACGTTCGTGCCCATTTTCTCTTATGGTTGTTTCT